ATGCCCCCATGTATGCAGATTAGAACTCTGTGATATGCCTCCATGTATGCAGATTAGAACTCTGTGATATGCCCCCATGTATGCAGATTAGAACTGTGATATGCCCCCATGTATGCAGATTAGAACTGCGCCTTCAAGATGTCAAGGCTGTGATTTTGCAGAAGCAGATCTCGAGAACCTGAGGTCAGCTAGCAGTTCCCTCGAATGAGGGATTTCTATCCCAGAATTCAAAAAGCTTTGCTGAGAACGGATGTGCTCTAGGGATTACGGCTGCTCCCAAGTCAGGAGAGACCCACGTGTAAACAGGGTGAAAGCAATAAGAGGCCCCCAGAAGTCACCCAGGGAAGAGCAGCTAGCTCGTCAGAGGTCTCAGAGAGCGACACCGAGCCAAGACACGGAAGGGTGAGTCGGGGTGTTCCAGGCTGGGGAGGAGAATGGAGGGTGGTTTCAGGAAGAGGAAAGAGCTGGGACAACAAGCACAGCAGGGTAAGATGGTGTAGTCAAGACGATCGTGTGTGAAACCGGCAGGGGACAAAGTCAGAGAGGTCGGCAGGAGCCAGGTGGTGCCGTGCCTTCTGGCCCTTGCTAAGGCCGCAGGCTTCATCCGGTAGACTGGCGCTAGTGGAGGGGACGTGACCACCTAGCTTTTACATGGAGCTGAGTTCAGAGACGCTGGTGGAACGGCAGAGAGCAGTTACCATCTGACTCCCGAAGGACTGACCTAGAGAGATGGCGGACAGGTTAAGCACGAGAACCAGCCCTTCAAGGGGGAGGCTTTTACCTTCCAGAACCCTGGATGTAAGCCTCCACACCAGGAAACGTGGACCAGAGTGCTTGTCACCAGTGGACCCATCTTTTCTCAGCCAGGTATCCCCAAGAACAGTGCCAACCAGCCAAGCTGAGGCGTGCAGATCCAACTCAACCCAGTGGGTCCGTGCAGAATTAGGCATTACCCTCTCGAGCTGGGCAGGGACTCCCTCCCAAATTCTGGAACAACCTCAAGGGTTTGGGAAAAAATAAAATGTGGGGGGAAAAAAAAAGATTGGCCTTAATAACCAACGTAAATCAAGCCATTCTGGCCAAGTTCCTGCATGGTAATTTTGTCACTTCCTGCCTATAGTTCAAGAAGGCTGGGACCTGGCAGGGTGCCAGGCCCTGGCCCCACCCTGAGCAGGTGCCATATATACAGGGACAGGCTCAGTCCTCTCCAGAAGCCAGGACAGCTCTCCTCCTCGGGCTTGCTTCTTGCTCTCCCAGAAGTGCCAACTCCTCCGCTCAGGATGAAGGTTCTCGCGCTCCTTTTGATCCTCGGGTTGATGGTGCATGAGATCACCTCACAACAAGGTAACTTATCTCGACCTGCTTCCCTGTTTTAATACATTTTTCCTGGGATCTATCAAGTGTGCATCTGGCTTAAGATCGGGGTGGGATGGGGCAGTACATTTCCCTCTGCTTTCTTCGCTGCTCTCTTTGATCCGCTTCAACAGCTGTTAAAGCAGCTCTTACGCCCCACTGCCTGAGAGTCCAGTTCCCTGTCCACCTAGAGGCTACTTCAGCTCCTCCATGCTTCTGCAGCTCTCTGGGGAGAGACCAGGGAGAGGCAGAGCAGCCTGCGTTTCTGACATTGGAGTGACCACCTCCTATCAGGCCCACCACAAAAGAACCTTCGCGCCGGCTCATAGAACAAGCTCCCTTCTCTCACTCCTGGATCCTAGCTATTCAAACCCTTTGCCCATCGGCAGCTCGGTAATCTTCAGTAGGATTAAGGAATGATACAATTCACCATAAATGGGGAATGGTTGTTGGGTTGGAAAAAATCAAATCTATGCTAATTTCAAAGGAGCATTTTTAATCTGGGGGGCGTTTCTGTGTGGAAAAATCGATGGGAAGGTAGAGATTGAAAACTTGCCCACACAAAGGACTTTTGAATTGGCCCAAGAAAGGCATGATCAGAAAGTCAACAAAATGAGAAGTGTCATGAAGGGTCGTGTCTTTGCCGCCCAAACTTCCCTGAGCACGTGCTGCACCCAGCCTACCGACCCGGGTGCTCCTTCCCAGGCCGACTCTTCAGGTTCTTCCCGGCCTCACGATTCAGGTCTGGGTGTTTTGCCAAAACCCCAGGTGATTATTTGAACCCAGGGAATTTGGGGATGCACACATTTCGGGGGCCCTCCGGGAAATCACTGTCCAGCCAGTCTGAGGTTGTGGGACAGCCAGCTCTTGGGTCCCCCTCCCCCGGGAAGTTGGCTGTTGGGTGTCTAGAAGAGAAGAGGGAAGCCGAAATGCCAGAGTTTGAATGTGAGGGCGTGTTCACCAGGGTTTATAGAATAACCAAGAGGTCGGGCAGGTGCCTGTCCAGTGCCTGGTGTTTGTGGCCATTGAATCTCTCTCTCTCTCTCTC